GACAATGGGCAGGACAGGACAGCAGGACAGGCAGTGCTGTGTGTGCCTGTCTCCCGGCAACACTGCAGCCTCTGGCCAGTCTGAGCCTGCCCGGGCTTCCCCCACCCTCCTGCAGCTGCCTTGAGCCACCTCCTGCCCTGGGCACCTTCCCCTGGGCCGCCTCTCCCCTCACCTGGGCAACCATCTTCTCTCTTGGCCAAACTGCACTTGGGCATCTCTTCCCCAGGCCCTCTCCCTTCTCTGGGCTGCCCCTTCCCTGGTCCTCCTTCTCCTCTAAGCGATCTCCTGGACAAGCTCCTTCCATGGGTCCCCGCCCCTGGGCCACCTCTCATGTTCCTGCCTCTCTGGGCAACCTTCCGTTGGGCATCTCCAGCCTTGGACAACCACTGCTGAGCCTCCTCCCCCTCCCCAAACCACCCTCTCTCTGGGCAGCCTCCCCCTGATCCTTCTCCTTCCCTGAACCACCACTCCCATGGACCCTCCTTGTCCTCCGGACCACCCCCTATAGCCCTCATCCCTTGGGTAACCTCCTTTGAACGACGTTTCCTCGGCCATCTCCTCCCCTGTCCCTCCTTCCTCCCTGATCCACCTTCCCTGGTCCCTTCCCTGGCCACTCCACCTACCATCCACCATGGGCCCACCATGGAGTTCACCCACCTTGGGGCTCCTCCAGGCCCCCAACTTGCATCCTTGGGGAGCCAGTGACAATCCCAGCACCATGGCTTTTAAAACTCCCGAATCCAAATTTTATTTCCATGTAGGAGAAGAGGGATAACTCACAATATATTGTTCCAAAAGAAATACATTCGACAGCATTTACAGTGGAATGACATTAAAATCCTCAGGGAGGGGCAACAGAAAGAGCAGGGGATGGGCTGTGGGTAAGTGCTGCCATTAGAAGGTCTCTGGAAGAAAGAGGAATTCTTAAAATCAGCCTAAAAAAGAGGGAATTCTGCCCTGGGGGTTCTCCTGGCGCTCCCTGCGGGGCTGAGCAGGGTCTGGGATGGGCATTTCGAAACAGAAGCAGTAATGGGGGTACAGCAGAGAGGACATCCCGGGCTCCCAGAGCCCAGCAGGACCCTCGGTGCCAGCACTTACTGACCTCTCCTCCGCTGCGGGATCGCTCAGATCCTGGATTGGGAACAGCCGGGGCAGGAGCTCCTCAGCTCTCCAATCGCACTGACAGAGCAGGCGGGGCACATGAGGCATCGGTAGAGCTCCATTTCCAGCCCCTTTCACAATAAGCCCCACCCTGGGCAACTTTGGTTGCCACCACAAACCACGCTGTAAGACCCATGGAGCTGGGAAGCAGCCTGGGACAAGTGGGGGGGACACTGAACGCCCTCCATCAAACCCCCAGCCCATCCCTTCTAGAAGGGGATGTCTGTGTAACCCCTTCTGAATGCTCCCGCATCCAGCTCTGGAGCAACGTGTTGCTTCTCTACTTCGGGAATTACTTGGCTGCCATCAGCCCTACATCCTACCCCTGGGATAAGCCCAGGGAAATGGTGCTACAAAAACTCAGACAGACACTTCTGTCTTCATTATTTTTCATCTATTGTGTACCATAGAAATTTAAGCAAAATAATTTTATATTTATATATATATGTATAAATTAGAAGCAAATAAATAAGATTAAAGGGTACATGGGAATCAGTGGGTGTTGCCACTCCAAGAGCCAACTCACTACTGTTATGCCGTACAAGGTCTATATATACTGTACACGTAGGTGTGCTGTGAAGAACAGGTATGGAAGGTGCTGGAAGAGAAGCCAACCAGGAGGAGACTGATGGTTGAAGAACCTGATTGCATAAAGTGTCCCATGTGCAGCCTGGGGATTCCAGTTACCATTGCCTCAAAGTTCATTATTGCTAATTATCTTCCAATGTGGATGTGACAGTCCAGCTAGGGGCAGGCTCTGACCCCTGGGAGGCAGCAGAGCGGGTGATATGAAGACCCGGCGCAGAAGACATCAAAAATGAGATTCGATGGGGAAAACGTCCAGGTCTCTGACACTCTCTGGCCCAACAGATCCCATCTTCAGGGACCTGCCTCCTCCATCCTTCCATTCCATGCCCCAGCACCGCTCACTCCTGGTCCTTGCCGATCATCAGCAGGGATTGCTCCGCTCCTCCTGGCAGGTCCAGGGCTGCAGGAAGGGTCAGGGGGGATGTGGGGCTCCCCCAGCCCCATGCTCAGGCTGCTTCGGTGATGACCTGGAGCTGCTCGTGGGAGAGACCAGCCACAAACAAGGAGGAGGAAGGGAGCTGGGCTGTGGGTGCCCTCCAGGCTCAGCCCCACCATGCCAGGGAACTGCAGACCAGAGCTGTGTGGTTTGATGGGGAAGACAAAGGGTTTGGACTCAGGACCAAGGCTGTGCCTCAGGGAGGCTCTATCCCATCAGCACCACAGCACCTCTTCCCTCCCAGTGTCTGGCAGAGCTCAGCAGGGAGATGCTGCCTGCAGAGCCAGCATTGAGGTTCAGCCCCTGGGCTGCAGTGGTATGGAGCAGGAGAGGGCAGGGATGCGGACCCCAGAGCATCACTGGAGTCAAACCTCTTTGCCCTGAGGCTGCCAAGCATTCCCAGCCTCAGTGAGGGCATTTCCCCCTTTGGATGTGGTTGCAGGAAAACAAACCAACCGAAACCTCACTCAAAACACTCTCACAAAGCATCATGTTGAAGACAGTCCTAAACCTTGGCTAAGCACAGCAGACTGCGGGGAATCTGCTCCAGCGCTTCTGAGAATAAAGAAAAAGGGAAAATAAAACAAAGTCACCAGCTGAAATATCCAAATTGGTGCTACTGGGACCACTGGGCACTGTGGGACCCACCAACAGTCTCCAGGATCAAGTGCCACAGCCCCTGGAGACAGCTATCCCAGCAGGACACTGGGTTGTTTGTGTCCATCTTTGAAGGAACCTGAACCAGGAGCCAATGTAAAAAAAATAAATTCCATCAAGTCCAGACAGAAATGGGGGGAAAAAAAGAGCAAATCACGTCAAAGGGAAGAGCTCACACAAGTGCACGGCATCCCCACAGCATGAGCATCTTTGGAAGTTGCCGTCTCAGCCAGCATAGCCGAGATGCTGCAAGACAGAGGCAGTAGCAAACTCACTCGGGTAGGACGGAGCCAGCCTCGGGTGTCCCCCCGCCTCGGCAGCTGCTGCAGACCCATCACTGAACCCCACCATGGATTTATTAGTGCGTAAAAAAATAGGTTTGGAGTCCCTGGGTACATTTGCTTCTCACATTCCTGCAGGGGCTGTCTCAGGGCGGGGTGTATTTGCCCTGTCAAGCGCCGGCGGGATGCTGCCAGCATGGCCTTGCTGTCCCTCCGTCTGTCCCGGTGAGCAGAGGCCACCCCGGGGCGGCTCAGAAGATGTCGGGGCACATGCTCCAGTCCTGCTTGTCCTTGGCTTCCCAGTAGCCACCTTTATAGACACAGATGAGCTCCCCCGTCATGACGTCCACCTTGCGCTCAAACCACAGTGGGATGTAGCCCTCGTAGTCCTTGCCTGCCAGGGGGAAACATGGGATATGGGATGCTTTTCCCAGCTGAAAACTGGTGAATCCCACACCACGGGGTCCTTCCTTCATCCCCCCAAA